CCCCAACAACCCTATAGCAAGACCGAACAATCCGAACGACCAAATTCCGTTTTTCCGACCAGCGGCTACCATGATAGGGCTGAAAACCCCTCCAAGCACCAACGCCTGCCTAGCCATTGCAATAGCTGAGTTTCTCACACATGTCGGAAACAGCTCGATTGTGTATATCATCTCCATGTTAAAAGCAGAACACGCGCTAAAGTAAGAAATTAGCTCTAATGCCAATTGTAATGCACCGTGGTTCCCAATTCTCATATTCTGTAACGCGAATATGAGAACGCTAGAGATCCCTCCTAAAGCCGTAAATCCGAGAAGAGCGTTTCTCCTGCTGAGTTTATCAACGAGGAAAAGCGTGATGAGGTTCGCCGGTAAATCCATCAACGCATTAAACGCGGCGCTTAAATAGATGTTGAAATCGAGATTCGACAATGCTAAAGGCATCCCGTAATAGACCAAACCAATACCGAAAGCAATGGCCATTACCGCGGATAATCTCTTAAGTGCCCATCTTTTCTCCACCAACACCTTCATGGCCGTGAAGATGTTACCGTTACTAGGCTTCTCTTCCTCCTCTTGGAATGGTAAGCTCGAAAAACTCATGGAAATTGCGTGTGCATCAGTCGAAGCAACCCTTTTGAGAATCGAAATAGCTTCTTCTCTACGACCTCTAACGAAGAGCCACCTTGGAGACTCACAGACGAAAAAACGAACAAGAACGCAGTAGACTATTGTCGGAATCGACGTCCATACGTAGAGAATCCTCCACGAATTTCCTCTGTTTACGTAAGCCATCAACGGAAGAGACAAAAACCCAAGCATGAATCCGAAAAAACTCATGACTCCGACTTGTCCTCGCCACTTCTTCCCAACTAATTCCGTGGAAAGCACAAGCGCACATGTCCCTATAGTCGCCCGACCAAACCCGTTAACGAATCGAAGAAGAGCGTACACCCATATGTTGGGTGAGAAAACCGTTAGCATCGTTGATATCGCCATCACGAGACACGACAGAAACAACATGTTTTTACGACCCAAGGAAGAATCAGCTAGTGTTGAGAGAACCAAACCTCCGATTAAACATCCGACGAAGAAAGAACTCTCCGGCAAGCCCTTGACGAACGAGCCGGCGCATTGGACATTCCATTCGGATATGACAGAGACGTGAGGAGAAAAATCCCAAGACCATGCGGTTTTGGGGAGGATACATATGTTGGAGAAGGATTCATGGCAGATCGAGTTCGACTCGGTGCAGTGCCACGTGGGTTCGGAGTCGGTGAAGACAGAGATGAAAGTTTGCTGAGCGTCGAAGACGCCTGAGAACGAGACTAAAGCCGCTTGAAGAAACTGAGCCCACCCAAAGCTTCCAATATATCTCTCGATGGTATCGTCGAGAGACCTCGGTGGTGGGTGTAACTTCGAATCAGTCAGAAGCCGCTGAGTTGATTCAGCCATGTTGCACGAGAGTTTTCTCTCTTTCTCTTTCTTTCTTTCTTTTTGTTTTTTACTTTTTTTTTTTTTTGTGTAAACTTGTGGTACCATTTGAGACGGCAAGTCTTTCGTCCTCCTTGCTATTTATAATATGAATCCACGAAATGTTTTTGACTTTTCCACATGGTAATGAAATGTTAATTTTGTTTTCTAATATGTGTGGTGTAAATTATATGATTAAAAATTGTTTCATGTCTCCATTGGTTATTGAATCGATGAGAAAACAATAAACGCATGTACACTAAATTTAAAATTTCCTCATGTTAAATTAACATATAGTAATTCATATAGTAATTCGTAAAAGACCAAATAACTAGACCAGTGTCAATTCTGTTTATTTGCCAAATTCGATTCCCAAAAAAATAAAAACAGACATGAATGTGATTTCGCTTTGCATATACAGTAATACGTTACGTAATCTGCGTAAACGTTTACAGTACACCAAATTTAAAATATTTCATTTTCTGATATACTTATTAGCGATTTAGACATAGTGATATCTGATAACGATGACATGCATGATTGATTTTGTGGATAGTCATGCCAACGTTGCTATGAATCTTAAGGATGAAAACATCTAATGTGGGTCAGATGTTTTTTTAATTTATATCACCACTTTCTATATATACAAGACTGCTCGATCGTACCTCGAACATCCATGTTTTTTATTTTCGTAATCAACATCCACAAATTTAAGAAAATGTTTTCCTGCTGTCAAATAAAAATAAAAAGGAAATGTTTTTCCATACATATTTTAATCCGTTGTTGCGTTTGAAATCAAGCGTATCTCATTCATAACTGATATTCCTGGCTAATTTAACTTAGAGCACATCCAGGGGCGGAGGCAATGACCAAGCATAAGGGTCAATTGACCCTGATGAAATTTCAAAATTAGTTGATTTTGGCTTAAAATTATTAAACTGACCCCTGCTAAATTATATAACTGACCCTTATAAATTTTATTTTTTACATTTTGACCCTTATGAATGGAAATTCTACCTCCGCCACTGAGCACATCAAGCTTTTAAATGTTGACTACAATGAACTCGTTTGACTAAATTTTCTAAAAAACACATAGCAACTAAAAGTATAGAACCGCTTTTGATATGATAAAAGTATAGAACCACACTATCGTAACGTGGCAAGGCAAGTCACGTCAATATCAAATTATGCGAAAACTGATGGCAATCCACATGCAAACAAAAAGTAATCAAGAAAAAATTGATTCTGCTGAACTTAAATAATAATACGATATAATTCGGGGTTAATCCAACGCAGACGCCAAACGCTCTGATTAGTATAGACCATCATTAACCATAATATTCTACGAGTGCAAGATATTTTTTTTAATGCAAATACTACTCCTAACATATCATGATTAATGATACCCTTACAACATCGTTAATGATGATCTTAAATAGATCTGATGTTTTTCTATTAAGGGGCTACAAAGATCTAAGCTAAATAGTAGACTAATAGAAAAAACAGTAAAAACGACAAAATAGGTTACTGGAAAAGATTGGCAAAAATGGCTTCGACGTTTCGTGGTGTAGTTGGTTATATGACGTCAGTCTAACACACTGAAGAACACCGGTTCGAACCCGGGCGAAGCCATTATCGAATTTTTCTACTCAACACTGATGATACCCAAAAAAATAAATTAATAAGTTACGAAAAAAGGTTAGCAAAACACGTGTAGTATGTTTTTCTTATCTTATTATAAGTCAGGTATTTTATTTTCTTCCATAGAAAATGTGATTGTGATATACTGTTTGGTTTACTTTGGTGTGGGCTGAGTGAGATTAATTCCCAATATATAGATTGTCCGGATACAAATTCCAATTGATTATGTGCCCATCCCATTACCTGCTGGCACCTTCCTAGACTACTGACTGATATTTGTTGAGCCAAAAGCCATGATGACATTTATGGGCGGAGAATAATTTTGTAAGATGTTATTTGACACTTTGATTTTTATAAAATATAGATAGAAAAATCGGTTGAATACATTTCTTTGATAGACAAATTTTGATAGTTTTTGTTTTCCTAAAACGAATTGATAAACTAGTTTTGTAAGGTATATCTCGAGTCTGCAGGTGAAAACTAAAATTCAAAACCAAATTATAAAAAAAAACCACCAAAGAAAAAACATGGTTTCAATTCCATTCAAAAATCTCGTGTTATTGATTAATTAGAACTATTCAAAAAATTAACATCAAAAAATTTGAATTTTATTGAGATTTTGATGATTTTAGGGAACTTCCTATGATTTATGTAAAATCCTTTCAAATCCCACATAAAATTATGAGATTTGGATTCTTATATTTTTAACTAAGGAAATTCTCTCAAATCCACTAAAATCCTTTGAAATCATTTAAAATCAAATCCACAAACTGTTTTCAATAACATGGATTTTAAAGTGGATTTTAAAATGATTAGTTCAATAACACTGGATTTCATGAGACTTTTAAAAATTCATGATTGAATAACATTGGATTTGTAAACTATTTACAAATCACTTGAAATTCCACTTTGAATACTAAGAGCAGTTTACATCTAAAGACATATGTGGATTTTACATAATCATCATATGCAAATTATATTCAACATTTTGTAGAATACTATTGGTAACCATAAGAGAAAAAGGTAAAATGAATAAAAAGAACAATACAAAACAAAAAAAAAAATTGAAGAATGAAAGAAAAATATGCAGAGAAGAAACAACATAATATATGGTAAAAACATAATATATTGTAACAAAAGCACGAAACAATAACAATATCTTTTAAAATATATTAATATCAAAATAAATCAGCTTTAATGAATAAAATACTAATACTATTTTTAATGCATATAAAATGAACTTTACATTTGATTTAAAATTTTTTCTTGTGAATTAAGTTTATATTTTATGTTAAATATTAATAATTAATATTAATCTACAATATAATTATAGAGTATTAAAATTTTTCTTCCATTTTGATTACGATATGAACATCTTTTAAATTTATTTTACTATTCATAAAAGTTACAATAATGCCTTAAGATTTATTTTAACATGAAATTCATATCAAATTTTTTTTTTATGTCAAGACATTGTAAAAACATGAAATTATTATATGATAAGATTAAAATAGTATTAATAAATATATTTTTTTATTTATGTTAAAATAAAATAAAATAATCTTAGTCTTTGTTTCTTTTTTGGTTCCATGTTTTCCTCATAAATTTTGGTGAGGAATATTTTTTTTCTATATGTCCTAATATATGAAGAATGATATGGAAAAAATTATCACTAGCAAATGGTAAAAAATCGAAGAATAAAAAGGAATGTGATTCTTTTCCTAAATCATGGTACCAATTGAAGCTTATATAGATATGTAACCATATATGTAGGGAAAATTATAACATGCTTTTTTTTACACACACACATATATTTATATTTATGTGTGTGTGTGTGGGCATAAAGCAAATAAAAATCAACTCAAAAATTTTAATGAGAAGAAGAGGTCATGGATTATTACATGAATAATTTGATCTTCTTAGTTATTGTTACATTTTCTATCACTCTCAATATTTTGTTTATCTTAAAAGGCGTTGCAGACCGTTTTCTTGGTGATCGTAAGAAGCTGCCTCCATGCCCACGAGGATTTCCGATCATTGGGAACTTAGTAGGAATGCTCAGGAACCGACCAACCTCCAAATGGTTACTTCGTGTAATGTACGATATGAAGACGGATATAGCATGCTTCCGGTTTGGTCGTGTCCACGTCATTGTCATAACATCCGATGTGATTGCCCGAGAAGTCGTTAGAGAGAAAGACGCAGTTTTTGCGGATAGGCCAGACTCTTATTCAGCCAAGTACATAAGTGGCGGGTAATGTTAAATTTGAATATAACAAAGCTGAAATTGTTTATAGATTTTGTTTTCCAAATTACAAAGCAATTCATAGAATATCTTATTATTTTAATAACAAAAATAATTATTTAAATAAATTAGGAACTTAGAAAGGGTGTAGGTTAACTACTAAGTTGATAGACAATATTACATACTAGTTTTTTTTTTTTTTTTATAGCTTAGAATTGATCTCAAAAGATTTCTAGGCACCAATACTAATCTTCGAAGGCTATTTACATACTAGTTTGAAATGGCTGCAAGTTTTGTTATTATTATTTTTTTTTTTTGCATACATAAATTTGATCTACCCATGTGTATAAACGTTATAAAACTCTTAGGTACAATGGGGTAGTGTTCGACGAGTACGGAGAGAGGCAAAAGAAGATGAAGAAAGTGATGTTGTCAGAGCTAATGTCTACAAAGGCATTAAACTTACTACTCAAAGCTAGAAACTTAGAATCCGACAACCTCCTTGCGTATGTCCTTAACATATACAACAAAGGTCAGTCCAAGACAAAAAACGGAGTCGCAGTGAACGTGAGGGAGATCGTGTGCACTCACACACACAATGTGAAGATGAGACTCTTGTTTGGTCGGAGACAATTTAAGGAGGTGACGATGGACGACGGGAGTCTCGGACTTATGGAGAAAGAACACTTTGACGCCATTTTCAAGGCTCTTGATTGTTTCTTTAGCTTTTACATAGCCGATTACTACCCTTTCTTTAGAGGATGGAACCTCCAGGGAGAGGAGGTTGAGTTAAGGGAAGCCGTTGATATTATTGCTAAGTACAATAGGATGATTATCAATGAGAAGAGAGAGTTGTGGAAGGAGAAGAATAAAAACTGCGATGATGCAAACAAGAAGGATTGGCTCGATATCCTCTTCAGTCTTAAAGATGCGAATGGGAAGCCGTTACTCACCCCGCAAGAAATCACACATCTATCTGTGGTTTGTGATAGAAATATACTCATTACCAATTAGTTGTATATATACTCATTACCAGTTGTTGATAAGTTATGGTTTCTTTGTGTTTTTAATGGCAGGATCTTGATGTAGTAGGGATTGATAATGCCGTGAATGTAATAGAGTGGACACTTGCGGAAATGTTGAACCACAGGGAGATTCTAGAAAAAGCGGTGGAAGAGATCGATGAGGTTGTCGGCAAAGATAGACTTGTTCAAGAATCTGACGTACCAAATCTAAACTACGTCAAAGCTTGTTGCAGAGAAACCTTCAGACTTCACCCTACCAACCCTTTCCTCGTCCCTCACATGGCACGTCACGACACAACTCTCGCTGGTTATTTCATCCCAAAAGGTATCTCATTTTTTCTTTTATGCCCCAATTTTATGCATTTGGTCATAGGAATATTAATTTGTCTTGAATTACTTAAATTCATTCAAAATCCGGAATTTTATAGTTTCTTTTGTTTGGGTTAGTGATTTGATGACCGATTAAAGCAAAATATTTTCATATTAGAATACGATACGGATTGTTTTCTTAATATGCCTAGAATATTTGTTCCTTTATTATTTTGGACAAGAAATAGATAGATCATGACAAAACAATTTTTCTTATCATAACTCTTTCAATTAATTATGTATTTTTATTTGTTGATTTAATTCAATATCAAATATTGATTGTTTGATTTGATGTAACCACCAGGCAGTCATATTCTTGTGAGTCGTCCTGGAGTTGGTCGAAACCCTAAGACATGGGATGACCCACTCATATACAGGCCCGAGCGCCACATAACCGGCAACGAAGTGAAGTTGACTGAACCAGACTTACGACTTGTTTCATTCGGAACTGGTAGGCGCGGCTGCGTTGGAGCGAAGCTTGGAACCTCCATGATTGTTACGTTGTTGGGTAGGCTTCTCCAAGGGTTCGAGTGGACCATTCCTCCTGGTACGACGGACAAAGTCGAGCTAGTCGAGTCGAAAGAAAACTTGTTCATGGCTAATCCTTTGTTGGCTTGTGTGAAGCCCAGATTACATGCAAACATGTACCCGAAACTCTGGACCGGACCAGCTTGATCACACAGGTTAACGGGCCGCCGCATTTTATTGTTATTTGTCATGTAGTATGAATTAGTTTGTGTGGTATTGTCGTTGTTTCATTGGTCCGAACTGAAAATTACCAAATGAAAGGCAAGGCCCAGCCCAGTATTGTTCCGGGTGGAGAAATTATTAAACTTGAATGTGGAGATTAGCATGAGAAGGCATCTAATTCCATCTTGTTCACAAAGTCATTCTTTATTCATCTCCAGCCCAAAGTCGTATTTTATTTTATTTTAGTGAATGATAATATTATTAGTTATATAAGATCTTCAGTGTGTATTCTATATTATATAGTTTCATTATTTTTTTCGAGGTTTCGGTACTCAAGTGGGGATAGTAAAATATGAAGTCCCCCCATCTGATCTGAGCGCGTAAAAATAGATTAACAATCAGTGGTTGACATAAAAATATATAATGATTGTTGCCGCGTAGAATGAATAATAATCAAATTACTTAAATTTATTAAGACAGTGAAGCAATAAAAATGTTTTTATTGGTGTGTCTTGAAGTGTAGTCTTCTTAATTTATTCCAGGGGAAGAAGGAGAAGAAAAACAAAAAAGAGATTCTAACATTATCTAAGAAGAAAAGAAAAAAAAACATTTTCTGAATTCAAAAATTGGAAGAAGGAAGGAGATGAATATGGGAAATTTCTTAAAGAGATTTGGAAGTGGGAAAAGCAGAAGCAGTCGGGGTATGAGTCTAGGAACGTCGTCGTCCCAATCTAGTGAACCATCACCGTCGGATCCTTCACTATCCCTTGCCGACAAGATCAACGCCGCCAAGAAGAAGTACGCTCTCATCCCTGATCGTTTCTCTTCCCTCGACCAGGTTCCTTCTCTTTTTTTTTTTTCTTTTTTTCTTATCTTCTAGTATCAGAGAACTCCTTGTGTTGACTTGACTTTTGGTTCACGATGGTTTCTGCTACTTCCACATGTTCTTTGAGTTCTCCAAATGTCTAATACAAAAAAATATGGATTTTTTTCTTAATATTTATCTACTTTTCTCCTCCATTTCGTTGGCATTGGGACATAAAAGACGATTTGGTAAATTTTCTTGTAGTAGTTATGCAAAAAAAAAAAAAATGTCTGAAAAAGAATTAGAGATGAAGGGGGTTCAGTTGTTAGTGAGTGTTTTGTTGAATGGTGATTCTTAAAAGGTATCAAAAGCTCTAAGAGAAGCTGGTCTTGAATCTTCCAATCTCATTCTCGGAGTTGATTTCACAAAGAGCAACGAGTGGACTGGTAGGTACAATAAATACAACTTTTATCGTAAATATAAATTCACATTGCTTTTTTTGAATGTTAAAACGTGGTTATCGTATTCTGTTTCAGGGAAAACTTCTTTTGACGGAAAATGTCTCCACGCACTCGGCGAAACTCCGAATCCATACGAAAAGGCGATTTTTGTCATCGGCCAGACATTGGCTCCTTTCGATGAAGACAATCTCATCCCCTGTTTCGGCTTTGGCGATTGTGAGTGTATTTTTTCTTAGTTTGTTTCGTTTTCCAAGAAATATCATCTTTGTTTGGCATCTCTGTTTCTTAGACGCTGTTTTCTTGCATTTTCCAGCAACAACTCACGACGAGGAAGTGTTCGGTTTCCATAGCGACAATTCTCCATGTCATGGCTTCGAAGAGGTCTTAGCATGTTACAGGAGAATTGCACCCATCTTGCGTCTGTCAGGTCTTTCTTTGAATATCTAAATATACCTTCCATAGCATTTTTACCGAATCACAAGCTTCCGTGTTCAAAAGGGCCAACGTCGTATGGACCGCTCATTGATGCTGCGGTTGACATTGTGGAGAAGAACGGTGGACAGTTCCACGTTCTGGTGATCGTCGCGGATGGACAGGTGAAGTTAAAAGCTTATTTTAAGAGAGAAAATATGAAAGCAAAAGATGATACCAAAACTTAAAAGGTTACCTTTTGAATGCTAAGGTAACGAGAGGTACGGATATGGCCGAGGGAGAACTCAGTCAACAAGAGAAAACAACCATCGACGCGATTGTAAATGCAAGGTAAAACAATTAGTTTGCCCATTTTTTGGCAATTCGGTTTTGTGAAATCTAAACAGGCCATTTCGAAATCCTTTTTATCTACAGCTCGTATGCTTTGTCGATTATATTAGTCGGTGTTGGAGACGGGCCATGGGAAGACATGCGGAAGTTTGATGATAAGATCCCTAAGCGTGAATTCGACAACTTTCAGGTATCTTCCCAGTTTCTGTGTTATTTTCCATCTATATTCTCTGCTTCGATTACCTCCTCTTGATCTTGATCTGCTCTATGCATAGTTTGTGAATTTCACAGAAATTATGACGAGAAACTCACCAGAGACTGTCAAAGAAACTGCCTTTGCTCTAGCTGCTCTAATGGAGATCCCCTTCCAGTATCAAGCAGCCATCGAACTCCGCTTACTCGGGTACTTCCATAAGTTGTTCTCACTTCTCAACATAACAGCACTATTGTCTTTCTCCTTCTTTTTGTTTGTCTAATTGATTCTGCTGTTCCTCTCCAACTCTGCACCTGTCTATAAAGGAAACAGACGGGCTTAGCTAAGGCAATAGTTCCAAGGCCACCACCAATTCCGTACACACCTCCAACTAATGCTGAACTACCATCAACTGCATCACCTGAACAAACCCAGGTCTCATAATTTGCATACCTTACTAATTTTCTGCATTGCCGAATCAACTCCAATCTCATAAGGTGTTCCGTTTAACAGAGTTGCCCGATTTGTCTGACTAACCGAAAAGACGTGGCTTTCAGCTGTGGTCACATGGTTAGTCTCACCAAGGAATTTTACCTGTTTGCTTTATTATACAGTATACTCAAACCCATTCATGAATAAACCAGTTTTAACTTACATTCGCAATTTGCTTTTGCAGACATGTGGAGATTGCGGATCCAAAATATCAAATTGCCCCATCTGCCGAGTACGAATCACAAGCCGGCTACGGCTTTACACATGATTAATGCACACAAACTTCTTTACTTTACTGGTCACTGCGTTCACATGATAAATGCCGACAAGCTTTATTTAAACACATAACAAAAGGCTTTCACATACTGTCCTTCTCTTTTGTGGAATCTACAGTTTGGTTTGCTAACTCTCTCTGACAATGTTCCACAATCAGCATGTATAATACAATTTCGTATGTTCTTTAAAACAATAACCTTGCGAGTAAGAATGAAGAAGCAATGTACAAAACATGGGGTTTACAGATTTATTCATTGACTGAAGTTGCGGCCGTTGGCGTAGTACAAAAGCTGTACTACTCGATGCCAATACAAATAAAAAACATTACAGCCATGAAACATGCCATCGTTGCATCAAAATATATAAAGATTCAAATGAGAGTCATCCACTAACACTGACCCTTCAGAGAATTCATCCTTACTGAGGTTTGGTTGTCACCGTGTCATCTAGCTTTGGCACTGGTTGGATTCTTTGATAAGGCTTCCTGGTAAGCGTCTCTCCCCTTAGAGCAGCCACGTATCTATCGTTTGTATCCTGCTTCTGTTTCAACTCACCGAGATACTCAGCTAGCCTCTCTTGATTTACTTTACCCATCATCTACAGAAAAGCGTTGTTCATCAGCAGAAGATAACACAAAAAGATATAATCCTATAAAAACCAAAAGTGCTCAATAAAGGAAAGTCATTTGCGGTTCATGTTTAACAATCAGCCTAAGGTACAACTGTGATAAATAAACTTCAATTGAATCCACATTGTGAAGCAGAGCAACAACAGATACAAAAAATTCCTAGTTAACACAGAACAATGAGTAGCAACAGAACCTGCAAATGCCCAACTCAACAATCCACCACAGCAACTCTTGGGACTCAATCACGTAGGAGCTTTACAGAGTAGCAGATAATAATGGATTTTAAGTAGGAGATACAACAATCATCAAGAAGTTCCAAGAAACATTTCACACATCAAGACAGCTCCACGGAAAAGTTGTAACCAATCAAGCTCAATAATATCGGCATCGGATTAGCATAAAAATAGAAGAAGACCAACTACATGTTCCAATCATGAAACATCTATCAGAGGCCAGATGGCTATTGGATACGCTTAACAAAAGTCAGAAACTCCAGGAATCGCATCAACGGCCAACCAAAATCATAGGAACAATCAGGAAAGATTAAAGTGATACATACGACGGTTTCGGGGCGAGCAGATTTGCGGAGGCGGGCTTCGAGCTCCGGGTTACTGGAATTGGTGACCTGCATAACACCATAGCCAATTACGCCAGGAATGACGCCACATAGAGTAGCGAACGTGAAGAAGAAGGATCTGGAATCTCGCGTCTTCATCACTAGCCATCTCCATGTATTGCTCTTCTCATACATGAACGACATCTCTCTCTCTCTCTCTCCCTCCGAGCCACCGTTTTTTCTCGCCGGGGGTTTTAGGGTTCTAGATTTCGTGGTCTCACAGACTGACACACATTACAGGTACGCATCTTAGCTTAAATTGCATAAACTCCCAATTTTTATTGTATTTATATTTTTACCCGCGAATTATTCTTATGTTTAGATATTTACCCTTAATAGTCTTAATAAACTCTCTTAGCCCCTCTAGTTTCTATAACTATGTTATAAACACTATAGTTTTCTATTTTAGCCCCTCTAAGTTGGTTTGTTTCAAAAACACCTTAAAGAAACATGAACTAGAGAGGCTAAAATAGAATATTAATTTGTGGAAAGGAACAAAAATATGAGATAATATTTTTCAAAAGTATTAAAGATTTTATATATATATATATACGCGAAATCCCATAATGTTATTTAACTAGCATAGCATCTATAAACATTATCGTTTTATCACAACAATATCATCTCAATACTTACAAAGGATAACATAGACTAAGAATGCGGGAAGAGACAGCTTAAATGAGAAAAACAAAAACCCAGAAGATTTTTTTGGGTTGACTGACCGGATAATTAATAACCAATTCATTAGTGAATTTTTTATAAAATGAAAATTTGTTGATTACGACAGTCACTTAATCCGCTTTTCAAGAAAAAAAATAGAGGCATAGAGTAATTGAAGGACGGTCAACTAACTGTAAACCCATATCAACTCCAACCAAATGTAAAATAATTAGTTTTTTTCTTTTTCTTTTTCTAAATTACTTCTGAAAATGATGTATTCTTGAAAGAGAACATTTTCAGTTTCTTTCCCCAACAAAACGGTTTTTATTTTTCTTTTCTTTTCCTAAGTCTTCTTCTCATCGTCACGCTTTTAGAATGCTCATGATCCTCGAATCAAGAAGAAGAAGATGGATCCAAAGTTGTTGTTTTGCTTACCTCAAGGAGATGCATTGTTCAATCCCCTTAATACCTTGTTTATACAAATGGCTTGCATTCTCGTCTTCTCACAGTTGTTCTATCTCCTTCTTAAACCTTGTGGCCAAGCTGGTCCTGTTGCCCAGATTCTTGTCAGTGATTTTGTTTATTGCGTTACAAGAAACACCCAGTTTTTACTTTTTAGGGCTGTGGAAAAGTTCTAACCACTTTTTTTTTATTTTGCTTTTTTAGGCTGGGATTGTGTTGAGTCCTGTTCTGCTCTCAAGAATCCCTAGAGTTAAGCAATTCTTCCTCCAAAAAAACGCAGCAGATTATTACTCTTTCTTCTCGTTCGCCTTGCGGACATCTTTCATGTTCTTGATCGGTCTTGAAGTCGATCTACATTTCATGAGAAGAAATTTCAAGAAAGCCGCAGTGATAACCTTAAGCTCATTATTGGCGTGCAGCCTCCTGAGTTTCGTTTTCTTATGGTTATTCATCCCTTTGTTTGAGATCAAAGAAGATTACTTTACCCTTTTCTTGGTTCTTCTCATTACCTTTTCCAACACGGCATCTCCTGTTGTAGTCCGTTCAATCGCTGATTGGAAACTTAACACATCTGAGATCGGACGGCTGACAATCTCATGTGCGTTGTTCATCGAACTAACAAACGTCGTTCTCTACACTGTAGTCATTGCGTTCATCTCTGGGTCTATGATAGGTGATCTCGTCCTATTTTTTTTCGCGACCGGATTCCTAATCTTGCTCAACAGGTTCTTAGCTCCATGGCTTCCAAAGAGGAACCCTAAAGAGAAGTACCTCTCAAAGGCTGAAACTTTGGTTTTCTTCATCTTTCTTCTCATCATCGCTATAACCATCGAATCCTACGATGTCAATTCCTCTGTTTCGGTTTTCGCCATCGGCATAATGTTTCCGAGACAAGGAAAGACTCACAGAACGTTGATTCAACGCCTTAGTTACCCAATCCACGAGTTTGTTCTTCCGGTTTACTTTGGTTACATCGGCTTCAGATTCAGCATCATCGCGTTAACCAAACGCTATTACCTTGGTCTAGTTATTATAGTGGTTGTAACCTTGGCTAGCAAATTTATTGGCGTAATAAGCGCTTGTATGTACCTGAAGATCCCTAAGAAACATTGGCTTTTCTTACCCACCATTCTCTCTGTTAAAGGCCATGTGGGTCTTCTTCTTCTCGACTCAAACTATTCCGAAAAGGTATGTTTTCATGATCATGTACATGTAGACTGTGTTAATGCACATTCCCGGCACACAACAAAAATCATTACATATGTTGTTTTAGGATCTGATATATATTTTGTTCACTTACTTGTCCTCACATATATATTATAATAAAACTTATTGTTCTTGTCTGAATCTACCTGTAGAAATGGTGGACCACAACAATCCATGATATGATGGTGGCTGCTTTGGTGATCACGACGCTTCTAAGCGGTGTTCTGGCGTCTTTCTTGCTTAAAGGAAGAGAAAAAGACTTTGCTTACGAGAAGACTTCGCTTGAATCCCTCGACACGAATGAGGAGTTACGCGTTTTATCGTGCGTCTACGGAGTCCGTCACGCTCGCGGTGCAATCTCTCTTGTCTCGGCCTTGGGCGGTTCTCGTGGAGCATCTAAGCCGTTCACGCCTCTGCTTATGCACCTTGTTCCGCTTCCCAAGAAAAGAAAATCGGAATTGATGTATCATGAGCACGACGAAGATGGAGGCAATGCCAACGGAGATGAAGAATTCGGGACCAACGAAGGTTTAGAGATCAACGATTCGATTGATTCGTTTGCTAAAGACAGCAAAGTCTTGATCCAGCAGGTGAAACTCGTGACGCAGATGCTTAATATGCACGCAGAGATCTGTAATGCGACAGAGGACCTCCGCGTTTCCATTGTATTTCTTCCGTTTCATAAACACCAGAGGATCGATGGTAAGACTACAAACGACGGGGAACTGTTCAGACAGATGAACCGGAATGTTCTAAGGCACGCTCCGTGTTCGATCGGTATTTTTGTGGACCGAAACATAACTGGATTTCAGCAGCCGCACGGGTTTGATTCGGTACAACACGTTGCCGCATTGTTCTTTGGTGGTCCGGATGACCGCGAGGCTCTTGCTCTGTGCAAATGGCTCGCGGACAACACTCTGATTCATCTCACCGTTATACAGTTCGTCTCCGAGGATTCAAAGGCAGAGACTCCGGTTAGAAATGCGACAACACGAGATAATAACGAGGTTTTTTTGGAAGTTATGGGAAGTGATCAAACAGAAAAAGAAACAGATCGGAGCTTCTTAGAAGAATTCTATAACAGGTACCTTATTAGTACCCTGTTTTGTCACTACTCTGTATCTGAGAATAGCTCTGTTTCCTGTCGCTATTCTGTCCCATTGTCTCTGGTCTGAGCTAAATAAACTGTTAATTTACAGAGTTCAAAATTGACTTTCCATCGTAGGAACTCCTTTTGATATTATTTTCTACTGTGCAACAGATTCGTAACGACAGGACAAATTGGGTTCATAGAGAAGCTCGTGAGCAATGGACCGCATACGCTGACGATCCTAAGAGAGATTGGAGACATGTATTCACTGTTTGTGGTCGGAAAGAGCAGGGGAGATTGCCCTATGACGATGAGAATGAACGATTGGGAAGAGTGTCCGGAGCTCGGAACTGTCGGTGATTTCTTGGCTTCCTCTGTAGATGTAAATGCGTCTGTATTAGTAGTTCAAAGACAAAGACATTCACATGATAGCTTTATAGATGATTAGAAAACGTTTCTTAGTTTGTAGAGACTTTAGTTTATCAACAATTTTACATGCCATTGTAGGTTTCACATATGAACTAGTATGAAAATCAACAGATGGCTTGATTAACCATTTTAAAAGGTTCTGTTCATAGACGATTTTTTATGAAAAAAATCAGTAAAAAAGAACTGAGGTTGCTGAAACTATGTCTTCAAGGCTTGGTCTCTCTGCTCTTGTTCTTCCATTGTATCACACAGACTTGACCCTTTGGTCTCAGGAAGAAGCAAAGCGAATAATCCGAGACCTGACATTGCAATTCCAAAAACAGCGAAGGATAATGAGGGAACATGTCTTCCAATCGAAGCAATGAGTGGACAACAAGCTCCTCCAAACACAAGCGCTTGTCTAAGCATCATTGTTGCGCTATTCCTCACCGATGTAGGGAAGAGCTCAACCAGATAAACCGCCATTAAATTGAATCCAATCCTAGCGCAAAAGAAAGAACTAAGTTCGAGAGCGAAAGCGATTTTTGTTCTCCCTGAAAGGCTCAGGACGAAACAGAGCACTCCTGATGCCCCTCCGACTAAGCAACTTACAAGCACAGAACTTCTCCTGTTGAATTTTTCTAGCAAGATTGGTGTAACAATAAACGTCGGTAACTCAACCATGGCGTTTAGGGCTTCGCTCAGATAGATGTTCACTTTTATGTCTCTAACAGCTAATGGGACTCCATAATACGACATTCCCAACCCAAACATTATGATCATAACAAGTACGACTCTTTGAAAAGCCCATTTCCTGACGAACAAGTCCTTGATAGAGGAGCTTGAAGTTTGCTCTAATGTTTTTTTTGGAGGTAACCTAGAAGATGCGGATTCCAAGTAACCTCTGTTTGCAGGTGAGATCCTTTTGAGCACTTCAATGGCTTCTTCGTTCCTCCCTTCCAAATAAAGCCAACGCGGCGACTCTAGGGCAAAGAAATAGATGAACATACTGTGGATTCCTGCAGGAACGGATGTGCATAGATAGAGAACTTTCCAGGAAGCGTGCTGGACAAGGTAAGCGATTCCAGACAGCGACATGAACCCTAACACAAACAGAGTAAACGGAATCATAGTAGCTCGCGGTCTCCATTTGGTGGAAACTCGTTCACTTATCAGAACTAACGCGTATGTACCAGTCTGGGAACGGGCGAATCCGATTACGAACTTTAAGAAAGAGTAGATCCATATGTTGGAGGATAAGTAAATCGAGATTCCGGTGAGCGACATTGCGAAAGTGGAGAAGAAAAGAAGTTGCTTCCGTCCCAAGGAACCGTCTGGGATCATAGCCAAAAAGATTCCTCCAACGATAGAACCCACGTAAAAAGTTGAACTAGGTAGACTTCTAAGAAAGGAGCTTGAGCACTCGAGGTCGAACTCCGAAATGACTGATTTACCCTTGAAACCGCCGTCCCACTCCCAAGCTGACCGGGGAATCTTACAGATATCGGTAGTTGTCGGATTGCAGACCGTGTGGTCGAGACAGTGCCACGTAGGATATGCATCTGTGAAGACGGTAATGAATATCTGATGAGCGTCAAAGGTTAGGGCGAGCCCAACGAGAAGTATCTGTAAGAACTGCAAGAATCCGAAATGAGACAAACTTTGTTCGAGGATCTTGTCGAAAGTCAGAGGCGAAGAAGCCTCTCCATCTTCTTCAACGTGTGTCAACAATGGTGCTGACGAATCCGCCATTTATGCTTATTTCTATCGATTTGTTCAGGATGTGAGAATTGTTACATTAAAAATTGGAAGAATCAACTACTAGTATTTTATAAATATTATAATCTGAACTCAACATCTCACATATGGTGAGCGGTCAAGAGATCTGTTCTCTAGTGATAAATGATTTGAGTTGTAACTTTCAACAGTTTTGTATCTGTGCGGCGGCCACACTGTATATAAATAAATACATATTTGCTGATGTAAGTACATGCGACATATCAGTACCATGTCCATCATGGACACTTCTGCTGATTTATTCTTAGTGGGCCGTTAAGTAAAGCCCATTATCAGGTTAGCTCAGACTCAAATTGTAAAGCCCGGTTTGTTCTACTACGCACGTATGTCCCCACTTTAAGTCTTTAACATCTCGCCAATAAGTCATGTAATAATAAAAAGAAGGAAAAAAACAAGAAGAACCATTATATATAACGAATACAAAAAGGGAAACAATCAAATTGGATAGTGAAATAAATTGTTGTAAGCTTGGCTTATAAGATTATCTATCTACATCTACCGCCACCATTTTCACTGGTGACTTGCCACCTTTTTCTTGAATATGCATCTATATATTCGAATAATTGGAAACAAAAGAAAATGCATATTCGAACACACTAAATTGTGTTTATTATACATTTTTACATGAATTAGAGTTATGTAGTTATTTTCTAGGGATATGTGTTAAATATGATAATCACTAAACTAATCAATATTATCAAATAATCTCATTTAATTGTATGCAAACATTTAGTAATATAATCCACATTCACATGAGATTATATAGGGAAATTTTGTGGTCAATATTTTGGTAATTCATGACGAATCCCAAAGACATCAGGAGAATAAAAGAGGAAAAAAAAAGAACAAAAAAAACAAAAATAAAACAAAAGATGAAAAATAAAAATTGTAGAAACAAAAAGGTAAAAAAAAATTGTATTTGATATAATCTTTTATATGGGCTCTTTATTAAAAGACACAACATCTAATTTTACCAAAAAAAAGAAAAAAAGACTAGAACAGTATAAAAAAAACATAAATCGACAGTAATGTCACTGGTTGTGGTGTCATTTTCCAAGAAAGATCATACCTAGAGATCGTAATTACGATTACATTATAGATATTAAAATGATAAGCATAGATATCCTCGAAAGACAAGACAAAGATCATATGGTAAAATCGGATTAATATGATATTCAAAAATTTAAAGGACCAAAAAAGAGTGTGATCGAAGACTCAAAAGAAGAGCCCATTGTGTACAAAAAGGAAACTGCGCGGATCGGATCTAATATAATTCCACATGACTCGGATTTTATTCCATGTTATTAGTCGTTGTTCCACATTCTCCTTTCCACGTATGACTGACTAATAATTGTCTCTTCAAGATAGATAGACAACATATCTGCCCAAAAAAAGATAGAAGGTAAAGCATTTTGTAACATGACTCTTGAATTGTTCATACCACAAAATAAGATTCACTAAATAACTGACAAGACAATATTTCATATGGAATTCTCTTTTTTTTGTCACGGCTACGGCTGAATGCTAAATCTGTTAGATGCGTAATAACATATATGCTATAATAAATAGGTTTCATTAATTAACTAATAAATTATTCAAGAAACCTTAAAATCCAAATTAAGTTTGTGTTATTGTCAATATTCGAACGAACTACTATAAGCTTCTTTCGATGAATTTAAAATTATAATGCTAGACTTCAGGGACCGCGCTAGACTGATAAAATGTCCCTTTTGTCTCTCTCTACACACATATACATCTCTATATATACAAATATGCCAATAATCTCTTTCCATTATACGAAACCATTCTATCAAATATATTCAAAAAGAAAAAGGAAAAAAAAAAACTCAGAAACATCTCCAAAACTGATATCACAGTCACTCTTTGATTACAATGAGCAACTCAAAATCATACTGGAGAAAGCAAAGATGGGGAACGCCGCCACAAGCCCTAACACCGTTAATGGAAGGACCAGATCCAGACATGCAAGACGAAAGAACCAAGAAGGAGAGCTCATGGGAAGCGATTAGAGAATGGTTTAAGGTTCATAAGGGCATTTCTGGAAACATGTCATCTCCTTCGGTCCAACCTCTTTGCAACAGCTACGACGTGCCGGCTAAGGGACAAGACTTGAGGCTCTTGCTCGGTGTCTTGGGTTGTCCTCTTGCTCCAATCTCCGTTCTCGTCTCCGACCTATTTCCCGATGATCCTCTTCTTGGTTCTTTCCAAATCAAGAATGTCCCATTTGTGAGTATATTACTACTTAATCTATCTTTTGGTTTGTAATTCTATTTATCGATTAATTCTCTTATTGGTGCTTCTTAATCTGATATTTTTCTTTAAATATATAACACAAATCTAAAAAAGATAATAGATAAAGTATATATATAAGACATTTATATAGTTTTTTTTTTTTTCTTTTTTTTGGTGTCGAAATCTCAAGCGGTTGGTTAATATAAATTCTTTGATTGGAAATAAGTCGTTTCAATAGTTGTCTTTGAGATAAGATTAGGTTGAAAATATTGTTCAAGGTACAATAATTTTTTGTTGGGGGGCCAAAAAAGCATGTTAAATCAACGTTTACTTTTTCAAAATTTAAACATCTTTGGTGACCAAAATATTTATCTTCCATTCGATTATGCAAAGTTGCAAACAACAAAAGAAATTAGTAAGAGTATGATATTAGGTATGTTGTATGCATCACTAGGATTGATTGTTAATCATTATACGTAAATATATATAATACAGGAGACGTCGACGGCGCATTATATAATACAACAATACTTAGCGGCGACGGGATGTCTAAAGAGAGCGAAGGCAGCGAAGAACATGTACGTGACGGGAATAATGAAAATGAGTTGCTGTGAGACGGAGATAGCCGCCGGAAAAAGCGTGAAGACACTAGGCGGCGGTGGAAACGGTCGGAGCGGAGATAGTGGTTGCTTCGTATTGTGGCAGATGCAGCCTGGAATGTGGTCTCTGGAGCTTGTTCTCGGTGGCACTAAACTCATATCAGGCTCCGACGGTAAGACGGTTTGGCGCCATACGCCATGGCTGGGTACTCACGCAGCTAAAGGCCCTCAACGGCCACTTCGACGTCTAATCCAGGTAATTTCATGTTGATAATTAAGTACTATAAAATACCGCAAAACCAAAATTTAGATATAGCATTAATATTAAGTAGTAGGTATGTGATTTAGAAGAAAATAATTGCATAACGCTTGGCAAAAAAGAGAGAGAGAGAGAGATGACGTAATGAGATTGTCCGAGAGATAAGGACGTGGAAGGAAAAAGAGTGGTCGCTGTCCAATAAGAAACGAAAGCTATTGAGAAAAAAATACACAAAAACCTGACAAGTGATGTAGAAGCTGTCTCCTCTTTTTTTTTGTTTTTGTTTCCTTTCTCTTGAAACTTCAAAATCAAACTGATATAAACCCTATTTACCCCCACCCACTCTTGAGTCTTGACTCTCCCACCACCGCACGTGGTCTCTCCTTTTCCTGTCACGTGACGTCATCTGTTTTAAGCTCATCATCAATCCGTACTTACTATTTACAAAATGTGTTTGCTGCTATGCTAATAGTTGAAGTTTTACTTCCTTTTTTTAGTAAGGTCTGAGGTTTTTGTCCTTGATTATTGTTGTTGAGGGTTATATTTCTATTTCTATGGATTATTAAAAAGATGGTTAAATAAATTCTCATGCAGAGAGAGCATTGTTGGGTAAGTGTGTACAATTATTTGTTTGTTTTTGATAAAATACCACTAGTACTAGTAATGAAACCGTATGTAATGAATATGCTTCTATCATGAATACGATCATACATTCAAAGTGGGGTTAGGAACTTCTTGGGATTACCAAAGTTTGTCTTTCGCTTTATCTTTTCTTCTTTCTTTCTTTCTTTCTTTCTTTTAAAATCTTTTGCTTTTTTGTTCTTGTCGTTCAGACACCAACGAATATTTGCCGGACACAGTATTAATAATATATTTTGTTTTACTGATAATCACGTTTGTTTTGTGGCTGGGCTACAGGGTTTGGACCCGAAGACCACAGCAAGCCTATTCGCAAAGGCCCAATGTTTAGGGGAGCGAAGAATCGGCGACGATGACTGTTTCGTGCTCAAAGTCTCCGCCGACCGTGACTCGTTGATTGAACGGAACGACGCCGGAGCTCCGGCGGAGGTTATACGCCACGCGCTGTACGGATATTTCTGTCAAAAGAGCGGTCTCTTGGTGTATTTAGAGGATTCGCACCTCACTAGGGTTGTGACGATCTCGCCTGAGGACGAGGCGGTTTACTGGGAGACGACGATCGGAACTAGCATCGGGGATTACCGTGACGTTGACGGAGTAGCCGTGGCCCATTGCGGACGCGCAGTGGCGACGGTGTTCCGATTCGGGGAGACGTCGTTGCAGTATAGCAGGACGAGGATGGAGGAGATTTGGAGGATCGACGACGTCGTTTTCGATGTGCCTGGCCTCTCTTTGGACTCCTTTATTCCTCCCGCCGATATTTTTGAAGATGCTAATAACAACAACAATCCTACTCATGTTTACAGTACTGTTAATTCTCGATAATTATGATGTGAAATTAATATTGGTGGGTTAATTAGTTGATCGTATATGTACATGTTTCTTTTATTCTAAGAAAAAATTCTAAAACCCTACAAATCCATTATTTTTTTCTGTTATAATTTTGGGTTGTAACTTGTAAGATAATTAACGACGAACTCTAATATTGGATTGCTGTGTTGGATAAATCTGAATCTGATAAGTTATTACACAGGTTCGGAAATTTTCGCCACCTCTTATTTATTACAAGATATAGTATAATGTTTGTGACATCGTTTGAGAGGCAAATATTACTAGAACATTTTTGGTTGGACATATCTTTGTAATGGACATTGTATGAAGCCCAGTCATAAAATGGGTGTGTGAGAGTAATAACAAATATATTACAAATGGGCTTTTTTGTTTCTCTATTCTATTTTTTTTGTTCCTTCTTTTCTTCGAAATGTAACAAATTAAAGTTTGGTTTTTTCCCCTAATAAAATATATGAATAGTATTTGAACCTTTGTTGGAAAACATGTTAGAACTTAGAACTAATGGAAAATTATACTAGAGAAAGAAATATGACAGCGAAAAAAAGATGCTTGGGGAATGTACTTTGTTAAGAAGAGAGCATTCTACTACATATATATCAACAACACATACCCAAAATAAAGTATCAATTCAAAAATATCGAATATCAAAAAGAAGTGTATTATCTTCTTCTTCTTCTTCTTTTTTGTTTTTTTTTTGGAAAAAAACAGAAGAAGAAGGAAGGGAGGATAATGGAATCCAAGGTCGAGATCGTAATGAGGTGCCTACAGAGGATTTGTATGGAAGAATGTGCATAGACCATCCAAGACCATTACCTTTATTACTTTATTTATTTCTTATATATAAGTACTTTAGTTTGCTTAACAACCATAATAATTACCATATGATATGTGTACAAACATCAACTTTATTAGCCTATTTTAAAATATGATACACAAGTAAAGCTACGATCACATGCACGTTTATGCATGTGGAATGCGAGACAAGAAAAAAGTAACAAAATGAGATGTTCAGATGGATTATATATGTTAAAGCACTGAATAGTTATAATAATTAGCTAACTTGTGGTTGGTGCGATTTTATTGTGAATGCGAATGAATATTCACAAAACATGCATCATCGTCATTTCAGATCCACTTTGTATACATATAATGCATCTTCACAAATTACGTTGATTATTGAACCATAACTAGTTCCTTCTTCTCTTTTAAAAATCCTAGCTATTACCAATGACAGAATATCGATGTTCTTTTGGTATTTGTTTTTTAATGTCATTCTTCATAGCTTAACTGAAATTGAATCCATATCTATATGTACTGGAAATCAAAAAGGAATCATGTACCCACAAATATCAAAGCTAAGATATATATTTTATTAATATAATATAGCTAAAATCTTACAAAATATATATATACAATTGATAGAGTAAAATAAAATTTTCGGATGAATGGATGTTTTTTTTTTCTTTTTTCAAATATCTAATATTAATTCAATAGAATAAAAGGGGAAAAAATAACAGAGGAATGAACGTAATTAGAGGGAATATGTGTGGGGGCGTACGTAAAAGCTAAGGAGAAGAGAAGCTTCCTCGAGAAGTGGATTTACATGGGAGTGCGTTTATATCTCTATGCTTCTCCTTCTTCTTCTTCTTCTTCTTCAATTCTCCTTTTGCCTTTTGTTTTTCTCAGCTTTTAGAGTGAGTGAGTGAGTGTGTGAGTGAGAGAGACTGAGATAGCTTTCTCTTTTACTTGCCAACTTGCAGTGATGACCAGAGATCTTTATATTTTTTTTCTCTCTCTCTCTCTTAAACCAACAAAGTTGATCAATAAAAATATATATAAGCCGTAATTTGTACGTATTTTGTTGTGACTAAAATGGATCCGGCCACACTGATTTAATAAAAAAAATATCAGTCGTTAACAAAGCAATTGCATGCAAGAAGCTGATTAATCAATATTATAAGCTAAGTACTTTATTGAATTCAAACAATTAAGCTCCTTGCATGCGAATTTCCAGTTAATTAAGGATGATCTAGTGTATTAAACTTCTTTTATACTATTTGTCCTGATGAAATTAAGTGGTCATATGAAGCAGAAAAGTAATAAAAGAATAAAGAACAAAGATATATATATCGGAAGGAAAGATAGATACTCAGTGTCGGTTAATTTCTCTTATGACAACTTCTTTTATTTTCTTTTGAAAAGGATCTTGTAGCTATCAATCTCTCTTACTTGCATATATATACATGTGTATATATATAGTATATCGTACAGCATCAAGTGACTATATATATACATTTGAATCAAAGTTTACAGCTTTTCTTGCTGTTTGCATGTGGGTTTCCCAAAACCCTAAAAACCTTTTGCTTTGATGGGGATCATCATCATCATTATAACTTGCGATGTCCTTTTATTTTTCTTATTTACTTATGAATTTTTACCATACACTTTTCTTTTCTTTTTTCCCAAGTTTGATTTGAAAATTTAGTTTCCCGATGCAGATATCCCATTTTAGAGTAATCATATATAAGGCATCAAGTACAAACTAACTTGATATAGAAATAACTAACTCATATGAAAAAGCAAAGGGCCCTTCAAAAGCTTTGAAATATCGTACATGCCTCGAAACATCATTCTTCTCTTACCCATAATTGTCAATATTTGTCCTATATATATATATACATATAAACAGTTATGTTTCATGCATGCGATTTTTTATAATGGTTAAGGACTTAATTAAGGCATCTTATATGTAATATACTATATATATACACAATATATATCTCTATGCAGCTTTTTTTTTTTTTTTTAATAATTAGTATGTACGTTCCACATTTTATATGCCTCTAACTGGCAAACTGTGAAATATGTAAGTCGTACAAATATATGTACATATGGAATAAAACTGCAGACTTATTATAAAAGCTTATTTAATTTGAAAATATTCAAACCATAAAATTTTAAAGCTATCAATTAAGTATCAATAATAGGATATCAAAAGAATTAATTAACCACACAAGGTATATGAAAATTTACGTGGGTGGTAAAAGAATAACAAAATCATATATAGAAATCATTCAACCATTCTACTGGCTAACAAATATTTATATATATAAGTACTGGCTAACAAATAATAATGTAAAGATCAATCATCAAACAGTTGACTAGAAAAGAAGTAACGAATAAGTACAAAATATATAAATCCTAAATATTATAAGAACAACAGTAATAAATAGTTACCGGACAGATTATAACACGAGCAAAACTAATCCGATAAATAAACATAACAAAGTTTATATTTTGTTTTTTTTTGTTTTTTTTGTTTTTTTTTTGGTCTCATCTCTAAATCCCTAATTCAACTCATGATGACAAAATATATATATATCTCTCGCTCTTACGTACGTACCCATGCATCACATAATATAAATTAATTATTGTATCACCCAAATGGCGAGTTTCTTCCTTGTATTAATCCACCATTAGGGTTCATCATAGGGCTCAACGGTGATCTTCGAGGCGATGGCCTCTCCAGTAACTTCCCGCCATTATTTCCTTCATCACCTGATAGACCTGATTTCCTTTCGTAGATCTCCGACAAAGAATCCAAATCCGTGGAGACATGTGTAGCCATCTGTATCTGAATTCGATGCTCATCATCGATCGGTTGGTTAGCGGCAAGATCATGATCTTGATCAGACCACATCATTAGTCCTTTCCTTACATCGTTACCAAAATTAGGGTTAGGTCGCTTCTTCCCCAAGTAAATGTTGGTGTCTGCAGCATTGCTGGCCGTGAAATGGTTCTCTATGTTTTGATGATGGAAGTTATGATGGTCGAGGACCTGGTCGGTCGTGTTTCCATAGATGTTAAGGTCTTGAAACGGCGGGAAACTAAGAGGATGAGGAGGTGGGCCCACCGCTGCTGAAAGACTCGAACTTCCCAAGTTACCTTTGTAACCTCCTCCGACGGCGGCGGCTGCCATGTTCTCACCGGCTAGGGTTTGACAAGCTCTCTCCAATATCGTTTGCATGTACTTTCCTTGTGCTTCGATCCTCAGTTGCAGATGTCTCTGCACCTATAAACATTTATAATGCAAACAATTATTGCATCTATTGGATATAAAATTGTTTTTTGTAAGAGTACTCAAGTTACCATATGATATGTATAGGTTGACTGATTACCTCTAGCTGTTCGTGCAACCTTCTCTGCACTTCCATTTGCATCCTGCAGATCAAGCCAACCTGGTGTGAGTATACACATGCATATATTGAAAAAGACAGTTGAGATAACTAACGAAGTTGAATGAACATATACTCATTCATGTTGCGGCTCATCATGCCAGAAGAAGAAGCTACGTTGCGCTGAATATCCATGGCAGAAGCTACATCGTAGAATAAAATTAAAAGTTAGAAGAATACATATAAATTATGGGTAACTTCGCAAAATAAAAAACCCTAATTTGATAGAGAACAAAAGAGATCGAGTGGTCACCTCTTGAACCTTCCTTTGTGGAGTGATCTCCGTACTCCCTGTGCGGCTGCTTTCCAAGCCTAAATTTCTTCACCCATAGATCCAAATATTAAGTTGTTATATTATGTGAAAAAGAAAAAGAGAAGAGACAGTTTAAAGCAAGGGAAGGAAGGAAAAAAGAAACCCTAATTTAGATATACCTGAAGATGGCTCTTAAGGTGGTAAAGAGTAAGACCCTTCACACCCATAACTCTCATAATCGTCTTTGGAGTCGCTTCTGCAAATTAACAAAAATGGTCAGAAACTTATATTCGGTTAAAAATAATGAACGGATGAAATACATATATGTGTGTGCGTGCATACTGTCGGGGCCGCCGAGCTGAGCGACGGCGTCGACGAAACGCTCGTGGAGTTCGACGGTCCAACGCAAACGCGGTTTAGGGTCGGTGGTGAGGACGAGGCCTGAATCGCCTTGAACGCACATAGCTCTGTTCTCATATGAACCATTCATACTTGAAGGTTTCTTAGCATGGAACATTCTCTCTATCTCTCTCTATCTCTCTCTTCCTCTCTCTAACTCTCTTTCTCTC